TAATATCTGTAAGAATTTGTCATATCCAAAATCAGTATGATTAAAATGTCTTCTGTGCACAAATTGAAAAGGTTAGTATATATTTTTCTCACTTCCAGTAACCAAAAAAGCCTTTATTAGACATAGTGCGTCTTCAATACTGTATCTTGGACATTAACCTATAAATATCTTTAAAAGTGCTTTGCAGGTATTACCTTGTCTCATGAAACCTTAGGGACAGCATATAAAAAAAGGCTACTCCATTCTAAAGGACTAGTTTCAAGCAGTAATAATTAGAGAGATTCTGTATATTATCAATTTAAGAAGTTTGGGGGAAGAGATTACTACACAGTATAATAATTTAAAATTATATACACCTTTCACTTCCCATGCAAGATGATTTATAACATGAATACAGTGTAACTAGACATCACTGAAAATGTAGTCAAATCTTGCCCCAGAATTTACAGTCATACTCTATGATCAGTTAAAAAAAAATTGGAATATATGAAAAATGTAGTAAGATTTTTGTGAAATACTTTGGTTTGTAAGTAAAATCTTAACAAAAAGAAGGGATATGGGTAACATGAAATGGCTCAAGATTCAAATGATATGACATTGAAAATTATTAGCCACTACCTATTAAGAAGATACTCTTATGTAAGCAATAAAGTTTATTACTAAAATCTTTAAACATACAGTATAATTTTCTGCTTAAACTATTTTTAAAAACAGGAATAGCTTAGGTTCTTAGCCCCTGTAGTAACACTAATGACAGGGTCATGAAAGACTTACACCAGGAAAACTGTGCTCATGCTTCCTTACACTATGGTTTGTTGAGGGTTAGGCAGTTATCTCCAATTTCAATGTCTTTTATTTACACGGGACAAACTGTGACTTAGAAACCCTTAGGGGCTGACTGTGTCATCGGTGAGACAAGCACATACAATACCACTGAAAACACATACGATTTATTAAATGGACTTAAAAATCAATATAAATCAATTGTAGGCACTTCTTGGAACAGACTGCAAATTTTCTACAGCATATCTATCAGGCAATACCATAAAGATTTAAACTTTAGTTTTTAGAACAATACACAGGACTAGACAATTTATAAGAAATACTGCATAACTAATTCGACTGTACATTTCCACAGGATTTCAGGGTTAAATAGAAGCAGTCACTTTTTAGCATCCTAAGTTCTAAATTCTGGCTTTCTGCACTATCATGGTCTTAAAATAATGGATTGTTTATACTTTCAGGGAGCATGATAGAGAAGTGTTATTTTCATGTAAGTGGAGCCCTAAAGATTTATTTTCTGTACTGTATACATCTATACAGTTAACACATGGCAGCTGACTTCTGATGTCCTGTAAGGCCCATTTCAAGAGGTTTGCTTTATAAGATAAAGACAGGCTTCTTATTATTAATTCCCTTACATATCAAATCTCGTTCTTTAAACTTGAAGAAACAAATGGAACGTGAACAATGGTTTTAAGACACTAATACATAAAGATATGGCATCGTTTTCCTGCTCAAACTGTTCAACTAGCTATTTTCCAAATGTAACCATTCTTGGGAATGGGAAGATGATGCACATATAACTTAATCGCCTCCATGCCTGTAAGGAGTTCAAAGAGCTGGCAGAGTCTAGCTAGGTATTTCTCATTGTTTCTCAATCTATCTCTCTGCATATAAAGTTAAAATCAGGAAACATTAAAATGTTAAATACAGTGTAAGTCAAAGGACTCTCCACTGGCCTCTATAAGCTGTATACAATGCAAGCTGGTCTTCTATAGTCAACAATTCTGACAGTGCATTCTCATGAGCAAAATTCAAGTCAGCAAATGAAGTCAGCGGTGAGAGGATAGGAACGAACTCGAGAAGTTCTTAGAAACTAGTGGAAAAATAGTTACGGGAAAAAGTTTGGAATACTTCCATGCTGATGGTAAATGAAGCTATAGGAGAGCAAGAGATAGCTGAGTTATTAGAAAGCTGATCCTGAAGCAAGTTGCAGATTACATCTCAAGAGTGCAAAGCAAAGGGTCAAAGTTAAGCCCTATAAAGAAACCTTGCACCTACCGGCCTTGAAAGAGGGATTGATGCTAGGATACAAGTGGACAATTGAGGGAAGATGACGCCGAAGTTTACAGATAACCTACAATGAGCTGCTATCCCTATATACAAAGTAAAGCATACTATCAATACATTCCAAAAATGCTTATGAAAAAAACCTAGAAAGTTGTCTATAGTTGTTCTATTTACACTAACACAGATTTTTGAGGTTGTCTGTACTGTATGTGGTTGCTAAAGTCACAGCAAGAAATATAAAGTGCCTCTAAGAGAGGGGACAATACAGTCCTGTTTCTAGGCACCTTAATACTGTATGAGAGGTCTCCAAAAAGTTCATGGAAAATATGCATTATGGAAGAAACTATGCATGGATTTCAGATAATTCTGCACCAAAATTAATATTTTATTACTTTTCCATGAACTTTTTGAAGTCCCCCTGTACACTCAGTCAAAGGAGACATCTTAGGGACTTTGTGCCTTCAAGCTCTGTGTATTTTCATGACTCATGGGAGCTACCTAGTAGGCACATCTGAAAGGCCAGAAAATAAAACTCTTCTTCTTCCTATCTCATGTCACATTTCTTAAATCACATTCACTACCTGCATTAGAAATGCCAGTCTATGGTGCTAAAGCACATTTTTATTCTTAAGGCAAAATGTAATATAAGAAAATGAACCCCCTACCCATTCTCTACTGCCCTCCAACCCACCTCTCTTCACTGTGTTCTTTGCCTGTCACTAAGGGCCAAAGGTGTGCTGGGAAGATAAAGAGAACTAAAAATTTCAAACAACAATCCTTGAAATAATGTGTAAGATACACTTTATAAATGATATGACAAAAAACTTAAACATATTTACATGCCTATACCATATGTTTTTGTTTTTCACCAAGGGAAGTTACATGACTTTCAAAATGATTATCAAAAACAAATCCAGCCATGTACAGAGAGGTATGAATCTTTGTTCTTTTTAAAGCTGAATACAATGACTCCAAATGAGATGTTTATAACCAAAAGTAGCATGCTATAGATTCAGAAGCATCATCCTTTGCTGAATTCCACTTAAATTACACATAAACTACTAAAATGACTATTTATGAGGCTCTCCATCATATTTGAAAGTAATACTGTTAAAATGATTTTGGTATCAATGAATAATGAATAAACAGCATTTTTCCCAGTTGTAATTTTGTGTTTTGTTCAAATACATGGGTACTATCGTATTTTTAATGCTTAGGCTAGAGGGTAGAAAACAACCAAATCACGGTTAAACATGGTGTAAGATTTCATTCATTCTCTTCATGTCTTGTCAATAATGTATTATGATAAACCAACTGTAACAATGTCACAAGCTTTCAATATTCAATTAAGAATACATTTTAGTCAACACCTGATAGATAACAAGGAAATATGATAGAATTGGGTTGAATCAATGTGGCAGCAACCCAAAGTACTAAGCACATAATTATTTCAATTAAAAAATGAAAGGAACTAAAGATATGGATTTGCTGGGCTACTTTATCAATATTTATCTCTGATGAAACTACAAAATACATCTGTGTTTATAGGGAATTTTTAATATACAAGTAATACCTTATAATGATTTGAAAAAATATGAACATATGAACAAGGCTTAGTAATTTAGGACTTACTTTATAAAAGCATGTTGACAAATATTCAATGTTATGCTTTCACTTTGAACATCACATTGAAGAATGTAAATACGAAACACAAAACAGCCTACGTTAAACACTAATCTCCCATGCCTGACTGGAATTTAGCAACGAGTGTAGAAAGGTACTTTCAAAGTTTTATTAATGCTTAAGAGTATGTGCTATTATTCCTCAACAAAACTGTCATGAAGTCTAAGAGGCTGGTATTTAAAGTAGGTTTTTATCCTTGAATATTCTTTTTTTTTTGGAGAGGTTTTTGCTATAGGGCGCGTGCGCTCGCCAGATGGACAGAGAGAGACAGAGAGACAGAAAGCGAGAAATCACCCTCCAGGGAGGATGGTCATGTCACAATCTCTTCTCCTCCATTCTCCTCTCAGGATCTTGCGCATGCACACACTCGCGCCCGGTGTGAGTTTTAAGCCGCCAAGTCTGGGACATGACCTATGGTTGTCTACATGGGAGTCCAGCGACATAGCCATTATGCTAACTGCTGGTCACTCCTTGAATATTCTTAAACATGTCAATTAGCCTTCAGATTTCAGGGCATGAAGGACAGAGTACACGAGAGTATGTTTCAACACACTTAAAATAAGTTTGTTTACTGTTATGACAGAAATATCTTCAACTTTCAATACTGAAAAAAATACCCTAAGTAAATATTAAAGATACTTTGGGTCAAGTTACTTCTTAGTACAAATAATAAATTGTGTCAATCAATTTTAAAACAAATTCTTAAAAGCATTAACAAATTTGCATTTTATGATCAAATAATGCATTTATATTGTGAACAATATGAAAAACATACAGAAAAATCTCAAAACTATTCCAACTCTTAAAATAAGAAATAAGAAATTTGTAAATTAAGAAGTTATCAATGATGCTTGGAAAAAATGCTTTACTTTTACTCTCAAATTTATTTTAACTGCTTGACATATAATTTAATACTTAAAAAGACTAGCTAAATTATTTAATATTTACAGAGTATTACTTTTCTGGGTACACATTTTCATACAATAGTTTTCAGATAATTCTGGGGAAAAAAAATCACTTGATAATTTAATCACAATTTGTGATTGATAAATAGATTAACAATTTATTCAGTACTTTAGATGGCACAAAGACCAATAAAAGGAAAAATCTGATCACCGTAACTGTGTAATGTGTAAGTTTGCCTATTAGTAATACCAAGACAAGAACTGGGTAAGTATTCCACTTAGTTGGATTATATGTTTTCCATGTGTGTGACTGATCAACAAAAAAATAGGTACACAATGTCAAACTTTCTCTTTTATTTTTTTTTTTTTTCCTTAAGAGCAGTTCAGTGATTTGGAGGCTTGGTTAGTACAATACAGAGAACACAGGGGAAAAGGACAAAATGGCACTTCACACCATGGCCAGTATTCACCTCGTTATGGTTAGAACTAAAGGTATTATTCATTTTTATGTTATTTCATTTTCTTTAGAACATAAATCAAAGCCATTAACTCGAACTTGAGGTAAATACACAATACATACACAATCTTATGCAAAATACTTTTTGTAAGTAACACACATTTTAAAATATTGGAAACCGAGTATCTGTGCTGATTTGTATTCTGACTTAATGGAACAAGAAGAGAACATTCAACTAGGGAGGGCTATACTGATAATAAAGCTCTCAGAGTTCAAAACATCTTCCTCTCCCTTTGTACTTACCACAGGCTACACAATGTCCTGAGAGGATTCATTATGAAAAAAATATCAATCACAGCTTTAATAACTTACTTTGGAAGGAACTAATGAGAAAGCAAATTGGAAGGTGAGGCTTCATCTTTGTTTTCAAATAAGTGGTCTGAATTTTTCTTCTTATAGAAAAAGTTTAAATCAGTTTGTTATAAATATATCTAAACCATTAATTTTTGCAGCTTTCAGGAAAAGTCCAGCACTTCATTTACACAAAGTCTATGAGAAGAGGTCAGTAGAGATCATCTAATCTTAAGTCGTGACATCATCCATTCAAGTCCTTGGCACAACCTATAAAAAAAAATTTTTTTTATTAAATACCGTACTAAGAGGCTATAAATGATACACTAAAAGATACCATTTTTCATTTATCTAAGCAAAAAAAAAAGAAAAAATCCAGTAATATTCAATGATGCTGACATTGTAGTGAAGTTATACATTCATGTTTAGTACATCTGTGCTTTCTTGGTTCAGCTCAGTTATGTATTTTGTTTTTAGAACCCTGCCTGAAACATTAAAAAGCTCAATAATTATACAATGAATGTCCACAGAAAGTAATCTGGCAAAGGAAAAAAATATACATGTATATATTTAAAATTTGAATATGCTGAACCCTTTTTTTCTACTTCTAGAAATGTATTCTAAAAACAAAAGGAGATAAACATATAAGAGTATTCACTAGAGCATTTTAAAATAAGTAAAAGTAGAATTTAAATGTCTAGAAATGGTGGAAAATTAAGAAATTTTCAAACACTTGTAAGATGAAATATTAAAAAACTTCTAAATACTGTTTTATAATATGACAAAATGCTCATAATACAAAGTAAAAATAGCAAGGTAAAAAGCCAAATAAAACAAAGTATGTCCATAATGCTACTCTATGTATGAAAAATTTGAAGTCAATAAAATCTCATATCCCTGGGACCAGCAGATGGTGTAATGGTTACATCACTGGACTCCCACATAGTTGACTGCGATTGGAGTCCTGGACCTGGCGGCTTAAAACTCACACGGGGTACGTGTGTGTGAGAGAGAGAGTGTGTGTGTGTGTGTGTGTGTGTGTGCGCGCACGCGCGCGTGTGCGTGTGTGTGTACGTGTGCTTAAAATCTCAAGAGGACAATGAAGGAGAAGGCACAGTGGTGTGGCCATCCCCTGGGAGGTGATTTCTCACTCTCTGTCTTGCTCTCTGTCTCTCCAGTAAGTGCATGTGCCCTATAGCAAAAATCTAAAAAAATCTCATATTCCTAATACCAGTTAACACTGAACAATGAGAAACTGTACAAAAACTAAAATACTGAAAGGGATGCCTGTCGTAAAGCAGACTAAATGCTTAGCAAGAGGAAAATGGTTTTGTACGAACACTGTACACAATATGTTGTAACAAAATGAAGGATTATTATTAAGTATTAAATGTTATCTATTGGTTGTTGGAACAGTCAGGACGCACTTTTGCACAGAAAAAATACAATAAATGTTATCTATTGGTTGTTGGAACAGTCACGACGCACTTTTGCACAGAAAAAATACATCATGACTTTTCTGATGACCCAATATGAGGTTTGTATATACCGAAACTATGCTACAATATGAAATTTTGAAAACAGAACGTAGATTTTTGAGTTAAGTATCACTGTAATAATGTAAAAGACACAAAACATGGCATGATGTAAATGAAGTTATTTTGAGAGGGTTTTCTGCTGTAATTACACTCTTTTCTTTAAAACTACTAGGTAGGAAAAGGTACAAAATAAGGAAAATAGGCAAATAGATTACTTAACTACAAACTGTTAATGTGCGATGTCCAACCCACTGAATCAAAATGACAACCAATACAAAAATCAAAATTCTGAGCAAGATATTCAGACTGCAGAATGGAAAAAAAAAAGTTTTTTCCTCAAGACCAAACATTTCCACTTGCTAAGTGCTGCAAATATAAATACATATGAACCAAAATTTAAAAAGATACTTTGTTCGTTTAGTGCTGCAATAAGAGAATACCTCAAACTAGTTCATTTAAAAAACAGATACTTAATCATTACAGTTCTGGAGGCTGGGAAGTCCAGAATGAAGTGGCTTACATTTGTGAGGGCTTTTTTGCTTCAACATTTCATGGTGGAAGGGCAAGAGAGCAAGACAGACAACAGCCTCAAGCTCTTTCATAATCATGAGGGTAAAATCCCACCTTCCAACAATGTTGTGCTGAGATTTAAGTTTCCAACACATACCTTTTGCACACATTTCAAACCATAGCAGATAAATCACTAGTGCTTTCATCTCTTTAAAATTATTTTAAAATTACATAGTTCATATCTATAACTAATGACACATTTTCCATATAATTATTTAATAATTAAGGTATTCAAAATAAACCTTATATCAATCCTCAATGATTGTCTTTATTGCCATATTTAATATTATAGTTAATACTTTTGACTGACAAAGAGATAACATGTATTAAATGAACTAACAAAGAAATATCTAACATGTTTTTTAAGTGAATATATGTAGAAAATTATTATTATCTGTGATTTTTGAAAAACTGAACAAGTTTTCTTTTTTAATTCACTGTAGGGTACATGTGCTCATTGAAAATCTGGGGGGCATAGGGTGAGAATCATCCAAAGGGTGATACTGAGTTCAGAACTCAAACCATGCAAGCAATAGGCCATGTGGGATCCAGCGGCCTTAACCATCGGCCAGCCCTACGTTTGCTTTTGTAAGGGTCTACTTTGCTCTTCCAAATGTCTGTAGAAGCGCCATCTATTTCTCTTACATTTGGATTCAATAATATATTAGTTCTCCTTTGCCACAGTTTAAATGTGTCCTTTGGGGCTAGCAGATGGTGTAGTGATTATATCACTGGATTCCCACATGGCTAACCACGGTTCAAGCCCCAGACCTGGTAGCTTAAAACTCAACACTGGGCACTCGTATGTGCATGTATGCGTGTCCAAGATCCTGGGAGGATAATGGAGGAGAAGGGATTGCAGCATGGCCATCCCCAAGGGGGCGATTTCTCACTTTCCATCTCACTGTACCTTTCTCTCTGTCCCCAGTGAATGCATGATGCACCCTAAGGCAAAGCCTCTTAGAAAATAAATAAATGTGTTCCTCAAAATTCATATGCTGAGCTATGGTGATGAAATTAAGAGGGAGAAAACTTGATCAAATTATGGTGTCAAAAACTGGGCTTGAGCCAGCTGGTAGCATGAAGGTAAGGCAGGTAGAACCTATATGGTTGACTATGCAGGTTGGGTCCTAGACTTGGCAGCCTGAAAAACACACCAGATGCATGTGTATGCATGCCCAAAATCTAAATGGAAGAAAAAATGTAGAATGGATTGGGGTGTGACCATCCACCTGAGGGAGTACATTCTCATTTTCTTTCTCTCTCTCTTTCTTCCCGTTTCTGTAGCAAATTATAATATATAGTCATTAATATCATGGTAGGGGAAAAAAGATAGGCCTTTAGGAGATTAGGATTAAGGTCATCAGGGTAGGGCTTCCATGATCGGCTCTTGATGGGTTTCAAGGAGAGACACACAAATGCAGACCATATTGAACGCAGACCAAACTGTCTGCCCTCTCCCTTATGGTAATACAGCCAGAAGACCCCACCATAAGTGGTCCCTGGACCTTGGGCCTCCAAATTGTAAACTGAATAAATTTCTCTTTCTATAAATCACCCAGTTTTGGGTATTTTCTGTTATTACCACTGGAACAAACTATTAGGTTATCAGCAAAGTCATGACGTACTTCTCTATGCAAAAATGCATGACTTTCCCAGTGACCCAACAGAATAACCATCTCTCAGGGTCTTAAAAGGAAAATAACTCCTCCTATTTTATAGCTCATTTATACCCCAAGCTTCTGCACTTTCCTGAGAATCCTGACCCCAAATTTAAAAGAACTCTATTTAGGATACTTTGCCTCTAAATTAATTCTTTCCTCTACTTTTAACTATACAGAGATACACTGTATTTTAGAAAACAAAAACTTTACTTTGGCTTGCTCCTACTTTTAGCTTTCTATCCTGTCTAACCTCCTACATTTTCTCTCTCCTTCCTCTTCTTCCCACTCAAGAATTTACAAGCTGCCATCTTTGTCTTCTAAAATCCACTTTCACTTTAAACTACACTTATCTCATGCCCCCTTTCCCAATACAGAGTTTGCTCTGACTGCCTGACTGAATTAACTCATTTATAGTTAAATTCAGTGGCCCAGACTCTCCTCCTGGTCATTGACCTTACATTTGACAATACTGACTACCTCTTCTTTCTTGAAATCCTTTTATCTCTAGGCACTAGACTGGGCACTAAGCCAAAAATCTACCATAGGTATCCACCTTTCTCTGAACACCTTTCATTCTAAAGCCAAGGATCCTCATACCAGTCTCTCTAAATCTAACTTTTTTCCTTATGTGTAATAAATTTCCTCTTGACAACACTGATGGCAACAGTATCCCCAAACTGAACGCTCTCTTCTATTTGTGAATTAAAACAATTAGCAGGGGGCTAGCTCCATGGCACAGTGGCAAGGCACTGTGTAAAAGAAGCCAAGAGAAGCCAGATCCCACATGGTAACTATGGTTCAAATCCCTTACCAAGTCAGCCTGAGGCCAGCTGGACACACATAAGAGCCCAATAGCCCATGAACTGGAAGGATCATGGCCTGACCAGAAGCTGTGGAGGCTTCTCTCTCTCTCTCTTTCTCTCTCATGCATGGAAGTACTTTATCATGAATAAAGAAAAAGAAACTTAAAACTAGTCTGTAGGATTGTTTTGAGGATTAAATATAAATGAGACACTATAAGGAAAGTACTTAAGATACAGGATATGTTCAGTAAGTATATGTTCTTAAGCCTCACCACCACTGTAAGAAATTTCTCCTGGGACCAGCACATGGCATAATGAACTCCCATGTAACCAGCCACAGTTAGAGTCCTGGACCCAGTGATTTGAAACACACTGGGTGCAGGGACGTGCATGTCCAAGATCCTGAGAGAAGAATGGAGAAGGGACTGTGGTATGGCCATCCTCCCTGGGGGGGTATTTCTGGCTTTCTCGCTTTCTACCACTCTCAGTCTCTCTAGCAAATACATATGCCCTATAACAAAAAAAAAATTTTTTTGAGAGAGTTTTTTTTGCTACCTATAGGGCGCGTGTGCTCACCAGAAAGACAAAGATAGAGACAGAAAGTGAGAAATCATCCCCCAGGGAGGATGGCCATACCACAGTCCCTTCTCCATTCTCCTCTTGGGATCTTGGGCACACACACGCGCTGGGTGTGAGTTTAAGCCGCCAGCTCTGGGAATTGAACCACAGTTCTACATGTTGAGTCCAGCAACATAGCCATTACTCTAACTGCTGGTTCCCCAAAAATCTCTTTTTTTAAAAAAGAAAGTTTCTCCTAACTTCTCTCGCTCTCAATAACACCACTGAGCTCCGAAGGCAACTGTATCACCTTACATGTTCACCTGCATTAGTTCAGTATCATGTTTCTGTTGTGTTTGATTATTTACAGAAATATTCTGAAAAGTCTGACTGTAGAGATGGACTATATCTTGTATCTCTCCTTTATGATGTTGTGAATAGCACCTTTTAATATTTCTTGATTTTAAGAAGAAATATGTACACGTTTTAAAGCTAAATGTACATGTAATACAAGAGGAAGAATTCTTACCCCTCGCCAGTAAGAGCACAGCATGCCTGGATATGCCACTGGTGATCTTTAATAGAAGTTAGTTTCAAAAACTGAGAGATTTCTGCTACAGTCATGCATTCTTTAACATCTTGTTTATTAGCAAAAATCAGCAATCCAGCTTTCCTTAGGTCCTACAAAAGCAAACAAAGCTGTATGGGCCTGTACATTTTTCCATACATTTTCCAACATATTAACTGAACGGTTTTCATAATCTTAGTAATCCAGAATTTCTCAACTCTTTGACATAAAAGCATCTCATCAACTAGAAGCTGAGAAAAGGTAATAAAAAACTTTAACAACAAACACATTTTTTAAAAGATATACTTGTATGGATTGACATGTATACTACAGTCTTACTATATTTTTATGGTCCTGAGTACTACATAACAGTCATGTCTTCAAATATAATATATATCTATCACTTCTCCAACCCCAACTAGTCTTAATGCTACTACTAAGCACTATATTTTAGCCTGGTACTTCTTAAAACCCTCCAAAATCCTACCCCATCTATACTTTTCTGCCTTAGATTACTTGCTATAAAAATACTCTGCTTTAATTAGTGATCCACCTACTACTAAATAGTTTTGTGCATTCCCATCCCTATGCTGTTTAGAAAATTTCTCCTACATACAGTTAGTTCTCTGACCTACTAAAACAAGCCTTTCTCAACTAGGGTTTCAGAAGAGAATTAAGCTCTACAAAAAATTATTTGGGTCACTATACTGCAAATCTCCCTACAATATACATTGTATCCCTAGTAACTTCTAGGTGCATAATAAATAAACGAACTCATTACATAAGAGTGTATGCCCCAGGCTTCCTGGTTTATTTCTGGGCTGAAAACTCTTGGATTTGAATATACAATAGAACCATCTTGGACTGGCACTGAACTTAAGTAATTTCTCCAAAGTGATAGTTAAGTTTTATCACTTCTATGCTATGACTCTGAGGCAAGGTCTTCAGTCTCTGAATTCATACCTTAGAACTAATAAAACACTTACTGAATATTTAATCTGAACAAGGCATTCACCACATGAACTCTTTTTCAAATATAATAATTATGCACACCCCCAGATTTCTGTATAATGTTTTACTCATAAAATAGGCCAAAGGTTCTTGGTGCCTTTCTGCCTTACTCCTGCCCACCCCTATCCCATTTTAACAGAACTTTTTCCCATAAAACTACACATATGTATGTACATCAATGTTTTTATGTTTATGTACAATTTTAGGTGTTAATGGATACTCTAAGTCCATTCATAAATCCTAGTCTAAGATTTCATAAAGAATTCATTCAGTGAATTAAAATGTTATAAAATTCTGCCTACATATATTAACAGATACTGACAAGACTAAGGTTTTGGTGCTACACTTATATAATTTCTCAACTATATTGGACGGTATCTTCTTCTTAGAGATTTTAGTGGGATGTTTTGGTTTTGATAGGTATATATGTGTTTGAAACAATAGAGTACTTAACAAGTACAAACTAACATTGATCCACATTATTGTACTCTTCTACAGTCCTAAAAACATGGTTGATTCTGATGTAAATAAAAACCGTGTGTAGTAAATTTCTAACTTGGTTAAAATGAGATACACAAAATGTTTTAAATGACAGGGAAGACTGAATTTTAGTTATGGTGCCCTCTGCAGGATGGCAGCTATTAATGCTACTACAGTTCATGACAGAATAAGCCAGGCCTGGTCAGAAAGGGATACTGCTGAAATGTTAACAGTTTTAAGATTTTGTGCTCAGCTACTTTTAGCTACAGTTCAGTTCACGTGTCTACCAAGGACAGAAAAATATGAAAAGATAAACTATAACTTGTACATACAGGATCGTATTGAGGTTAAAAATAGTTTTTCTTATCCTAAATGAAAAAGAAAGCACTATCAATAGTTGCTATGTGGCTGTCACTGAGAACTTTACACGGGTTTAATTCCTATCTTCCTGTCTTCTGGATTTCGATGTCTCTCACTAGTGTGTACTGAAGTCTTTTGCATAGATCAGGTCTGCTAATGCTGTATGTTCCAAGAACATTACTATTTTATTTATAAGTAGTTCGTACTCATCATTCTTTGTGATGCAATTATTTGGAAAAGTTTCTGGACTAAAAATTGAAACACAAAAGAAGGCCATTTATTAAAAGGTCTGGAATAAATAAATACAGTATTTTCTAAATCTCAATGAGCCAACATTTTTTTTTTTTTTTAGAGGTTTGTTCTATTGGGGACATGAGCTCACCAGAAAGATGGAGGAGA